AAAGTACGGATGGAATTAAGACATTCCGGGATAAAAATCAGAGAGTTCATTACAATCAGACTTACCCTACAAGAAAAGGGTATCCTTTTAATTGAAATTAAAAGACCAATTACAGTAACTCAAATCTATATGATGAAATTAAGGTCTCAAAGCTAAATGTATAGGCAATTAAAAAGCTGGTATTATTTCGTTACCTAATGCCACTTTTTAACTCCTAAATGTTTTAAAAGACAAGTGTATACAGATAATTATGTTATTAGGCACCCAAAATATAAAAATGTAATTTTTGACATCAGTAAAATAGGAGTTGGAAGGCAGAGCTTTATAAGAGTAGAATTTTGTTTGTTATTAAAGATAAGCTGGTATCAATTAGACTATTATAAATTTAGGATGTTAACTTTAATCCCCATTGTAACCACAAAGAAAACATTTAATAAATATAAAAGGAAAACAGCAAGAGAAAAGGCAAAAACAAGAGACCAACAAAGTGTAGGGCACAGAAAATAATAAACTGTTTTTCCACTATATACTGTTTTAAACGTAAATGAATGAAAGTCTTTAATCAAAAAGTAGATATTGGCAGAATGGATGAAAAATAAAACATCTAGTTATATGCTATCTACAAGAAACTCACTTTAAATCCAAAAAACCTGGGACCAGCACATGGTATAATGGTCATGTTGCTGGACTCCCACATAATCAACTGTGGTTCAAGTCCCTGACCCAGTGGCTCAAAACTCACACTAGGAGTGTGTGAGTGTCCAAGATCCCGAGAGGAGAACGAAGAAGGAGTTGCATTATGGCCATCCTCCCTCCTTAGGGGTTGATTTCTCACTTTCTGTCTCTCTGGTCTCCCTCTCTGGTGAACCCACGTGCCCTATAACAAAAAAAAAAAACTCTCTTAAAAAAAAAAAAAGAAATTCAAAAACACAAATATGTTAAAATTGAAGATGGGAAGAGAGATTCCATGCAAATAGTAAACAAGACAGCAGAGGTGGTAACTGTTGGTGTATTAATATCAGACACAATAGACTCTAAGCCAAAAACTGAAGTTCACAAGGAAGGACATTATACACTGATAAAAAGATGCAGCAATGGTAATTGCGCACCAAAGAAGAGGCCCAAAATGTATAAAGCAAACATGGACAGAATTAAGAGAAGAAACAGTTCTACAACAGTAGATGGAAAGTTCAGTATTCCATTGTCAAAAATTTCCAGAACATCTAGACAGCAATAAGGAAAAAGACAACTTAACATTGTGAACCAACTATTAGGAGACATAATCCTACACTCCAAAAAGCCACAATACACAGCTTTCTCAAGTGTATATAGAACGTCTCCAGGATAGACTATATCTTAGGCAACAAACCAATCTGCAATAAATCTTCAAAGACTGAAATCATACTAAACTGTATCTTTCTCTGAAAACAGAGGAATGAAACTAGAGGAAAACTAGAAAATTTGCAAATATGTGGACATCAAAAAACCAAAGGATTCAAAATCAGAAGTGAAATTATACATACGTAAAAAGATTTAAAAAAAAACAAGACTTAAATACATGTCAATGTTCATTGTAGCACTATTCACAAGTCAAAAGGTGGAAACACCCCCAAGTGTTCCTCAACAGATGGATAAATGAAACAGTACAATATTTACCTACAGTGGAATTATTCCCTTATAAAAAGGAATTTAGCTCTGATACATGCTACATGAGTGAACCTTGATATATGCTAGGTGACTTAAGTCAGATCCAGAAGGACAGCTCTTATATGATTCCATTTGAAACAATTATCTAGAATAGGCAAATTCATAGAGAAGAAAATAGATTAAGGGTTACCTAAGGCAAGGAGGAAGGAAGAAATGGGGTTCATGTTTGTTAGTTTCTGTTTGGAGTGATGGAAAAGTTTTGGAAATTGTGGTAACTGCGTATTGTTAATAAATGCCTCTAAATTGTACATTTAAAAATAGTTGGGCCATCAGGTGGCGTGGTGCTGGACTCCCACATGGTTGACCACGGTTCAAGTCCTGGACCTGGTGGCTTGCTTTCTCACTTTCCTTCTCTTTCTTTCTGTCCCTCTATGGTGAGCAGTGTCTTATAGCAAATTTTAAAAATGATAATAAAAAATATTAAATAATTTTTTTTAATTAAGTTAACATTAGCAAATCCTGTTTTACATGTTTCACAATTTAAAAAATGTACACTATGTACATTTAATATATTAAGATTTACTTGGAAAAATTCGCAGAAGTTTTAAAGATAATCTTACAGAATGAAAAACGTGACTGGTCAGGTATTTTTTGAACACGTGCTTATGAGCTGATCATATATTTGCACTGCTTCGGATCTTTACATTATCATTTCTCCAGCTTGTCTACCAGGATTAAAGTGATTATCAAGTAAAAAAAAAATAGGCTTTCATGGCTATCTTCTCACAAGCTAGAGAAAATAAAAATACAGGAGATAGGCTCTAGTTAAAAGTTCCCTTTGCGAGGCTATCTCAGTAGATAATCTAAGAAAGTGAATGATGAGATCTCTGTTGCTTGTTAAAAGTAGTCAGGGGGCTACGTAACAACCATTACTGGAAAAGATCAGCTAAAAGCAGCATAATATTTCTGGCTAGCAGGTAGATCCTTACCCTCCAGGAAAGTAAAAGATTCATTTTAGAGATTCTGACCAACTCTAGATTTTCATGAGGAGAAAATTGCAAAAACCCATCCAGATAAACCTAGACAATCCCTTCCCACAAGTCCAAGGTTTTCTCTTTTTTTTTTTTTTACTCCCCTAAGTATACAGCCAAGGGTTATGAGAGGTCCTGGAAATCCCTAATACAAAGAAAACAGAAATACAGAAAGAAATTCAGAGATAAGCTGCAACGAACAGTTGGAAAAGAAAAACACTATATTGAACACCCTCAGTGGAAACAAAAAATTCATAGGTAAGAATATAAAATATGAAAAGGATAATATTGGGGGGGGGGTCTTGAGATTTTAAAACACAATCACAAGAATTCAAAGACAATTTAAGAGCTAAAAAATGACGAGATGGAAAAAGAAAAAACAGATGCTCAGTACTGAATATCCAACATCCAAATAACAGTTACAGGATGAAACAGACTCAAGAAAAGCCTCTGAATGCTGAAAGAACTCACCAAAAGCTCAAAGCAATGACTAAAAATAGACTCCAACCAAGGCGAGTCACCATGAAATCTTACTACTATGAAGACTAAAATTCTACAAACTTTCAAGTCATACACAAGCAGCAGAAATCAAAATGCCTTCAGATTTCTCAACATAATACTGGAACTAAGACAATGGAACAATACCTTTAAAATTATCTCCCACCTAAAATTCTATAAAGTATCAGTCAAATACGATAGGCACGCAAGGTCTCAACACACATACTTCCTCTGCCAAAGGGTGCGCTACACCAAGAGAGTTAAAAGCCAGTAAAATGGAAAACACAGAATCCAGAAAACTGCTCAACCTATCAAAGAAATCCCAAGATAGCCATTAGAGGGCAGAACTGACCATGACTGTTTTGAGTGTTGCCGGACAGGTTGAGGGTGGTCTTGGATCTGGGCTGGTATTAACTTGAAAAGAATGACCCAGGGAGTTCGGCCCAAATTAGATATAGGTAAATCTTCACTATGTGTGATTACACCTGTTTTCACATCCATGTTCAGCTGCATAGATCAGCAAGAAAGTATTCTTTTTTGATCTACTCCTAAGAGCTAGAGTTTAATTCATCATGCTCTGAGAATCAGAAGAATTCACTTCCTAGTTCAGTTCCACCAGATACCAGTTAGCCAGCACACACTACAGTCCTGCTAGATGCTCTGTGGTAAACCTTTAACAGAACGCACTCATAACCTTAGCCATCAACTTTCTAAAGGGATAGGGAAACTGGAGCCAGACTATGACCCCATCATTCTGGAAGCCTTCATGTAATAATGGCAATAGTGTACTTTCATACTTAACAGTATTTTCAAGACTGAATACATTGTTTCAGGGTACCTGTGTAGGCAGTGAACTAAAATACAAAGGAATGATTAACACACAGTTAAGACAGTATCTACTCAGAGCCAGGGGGTGGCATGGTAGTTAAGTAGCTGGACTCACACATGGCTGACCTCAATTAAAGTCCGTAGACCTGTCAGCTTGCTTTCTTACTTTCCTTCTCTCTCTATCCCGTAAGTGTATGTGTCCTATAACAAATTAAAAATAGTAATTTAAAAATTAAATCTTTTTTTAAAAAAAAGAATAGTGTACTCTGGTAGAGAAAGGGGACACAGCTACAAATAAAGTTCTTTTTTAAAAGAATTAGTTTCATTTATAATCATTATTATTTTTTAGTTTGACCAGAAAGTGAGCAAGGTCAGGTGAGAATAAAAGCCACTAAGTCTGGGACATGAACGACAACTAGTCATGTGGGAGTCCAGCACCTTAACCAACACACCACCTGTGGCCCCCAAATATAAGAAATTCTTAGATTTTGGGACCAGTGGATGGTGTAGTGGTTACGTCGTGGGACTCCCATGTAGTCAATCATAGTTCAAGTCCCAGACCTGATGGCTTGAAATACTCCAGGCCCATGTGCGTATCCAAAATCCCAAGAGGATAATAGAGAAAAGACTGTGGTGTGGCCATCCCCCCTGGTGGGTGATTTCTCACTGTCTCTGTCTCTCCTACGAGCGCATGTGCCCTATAGCAAAGATCTATTAAAAAAAAAAAATCTTAGATTTTAGTGAATGGCTATTTCTTAACCTTCTTAGATAGAACCAAATAAAGTTTTTCTTATCCTGTGGTAAGAGCATAAATGTTCATTTTATTATTCTTTAAAGCATATGTAGTTCTGTATTTATGACTTAGCAAATTTAAAAAATCATCCCGCCCCCTCTCCTCACTCAGATTCCATGCTCACTGAAGAGCATTCTAGCAATGCTTTGACTTCAATTACAGCTTTACCTGCAGTAAGAAACAGACACCAGACCACTGGCAGGTATACTTCTTTTCGGAATAAACTGGTGTGGTGATGTTTTATTTAAATACTGGTAGAACAATGGATGCTTAGTTCATTTAATGACTAAGTTCTTAGAAATGAAATTAAATTGGTCTCAAAATAAGTTCCCTGAGAGTCAACACATCCTCTGCAAGTGACCAAATTCGTTCTTACAGTCAGGACTTTTTTGATGCTTCAATTTCATCCCATATTGCAGCTTCGATTTTTGAAGTGTCATATTCCCTCATCATGTCAAATTCAAGCCATGGCTGACTCCACTTTTGAGCTTCTTTCATTTGTTCTTCAGTTAAACAAAGATCAAATCTGATTCCTTTAATATTAAAATATGGACGTTCCCAGCGTTTAGACCAGGGCTTAGGCTTCATTTTTACTTTTAGCTAAGGAAGATTAAAAAAAAAGGATTAGACTTAGTATACAAAGGCAGAAAATTCCTCTAAAGTTTTCATTAAGATCATTCTTTCTTGATTGTATATTTTAACTTTCAGTTCCAAACGTACAATCCATACCTCATTGACAGGAACTTCTTGGCTAGGTTCCTGTGCTACGGGCTTCATGTTCATATCAAAAGTGCTATATTCAGGGAGGGCATCTCGTAGATACAGCAAGCTATCATCCAGCCGTTTCTCTAATTTGACCACTTCGATCTCCTGGATTCGAGGATTATAAAGTTCAAAGCAAATCTCAACACCTAAAAGGAACAGAAAACACATTCTTAGGAACTAAGTTGACTCCCACACAAGCCTCATACTACAATGAAGGCCACTTCATAAAGGTACTAACATGAAGTTTTGCATGTAGAAAATGTGACACAAATTGTCATTTTAAAGATGAAGATTACTGAAAAAAATAGAAATAAACTAAAATCTATTTAAATAACAGAAAATCTGAATTAAAATGATAAAATCTAAAGAAAAAGTATCTTCTATAAAATGTTGACTTAGATTTCTCTTCAGTTCTTTTTTTTTTTTTTTAAGAATTATTCTACTTATTTTTTTTAATATGACCAGAGAGGAACCGAGATAGAGAGAGGGAAAGTGAGAAAGGAAGCACCAGGTCCAGGACTTGAACAACGGTCGGCCACATGGGAGTCAAATGTCTCTAACCAACACGTCACCTGCTGGCCTCCTTTTTCTTCAATTCTGATAACAGTATTAACTTAGAGAATGAGTAAATTCTTCGCTATTGTTTATTTCTCACTTACCTGAATAAAAATCAGTGTTCCATGTTAAGAGTAAAAGGATTAATTATTTTAAAAGAGTAAGTAAAATGTTAAGTTCTAACTTTGATTAAAAGGATGGTCTAGCAGGACCAGCAGATATGATTGCTGCTGGACTCCCACGTAGTCGATCACGATAGACTCTCAGACCTGGTGGCTTAAAACTCACACTAGGTACATGTGCATCGTGCCCAAGTGGAGAACAGAGAAGAAGGGATTACAGTATGGCTATATCCCTGGGGAATGATTTCTCACTTTCTGTCTCTCCAGTGCCAAGTGAGAACACATACCCTATAGCAAAAATAGCTCTTAAAAAATAAAAAAAAAAAGATAGCCTAGGTTTTTTTTCCCACATACTAGGATTCTCTGCATAAAGCAGCTAGGAACAGCCTTGAAAATACGAAGAAGCTACAAGTATCAAGCTATTATCAAATACTTAAGACAGCATTGTATGGAGGTTTTCTTAAATAATCCAAAGAAAAATACAAATACTATTATATGCTGGGGACTTCACAGTTTGTGTAAAAATGGAATTAGAGTACAAGGTTATTTCAGGACCAGCAAATGGCATAATGGTTACATCGCTGGACTCCCACATACTTGACCGTGGTTCAAGTCCCAGACCCAGTGGCTTAAAACTCATGCCAGGCATATGTGCGTGTGTGCATGCCCAAAATTCCGAGAGGAAAATGGAGAAGGGACTGCAGCACGACCATCCTCCCTGAGGGGTGATTTCTCACTTTCTGTCTGTCTCTCCAGCAAGCACATGCACCCCATGGTTTAAAAAAAAAAAAAGAAACCTCTAAAAAAAAACGGTACAAGTTTATTTTGATGCAAAAATTTTGAAATCTGCACATAGTTTTTTTAAAATATGCATTTCCCATTAAGTTCTTTTTTTTTTTTTTTTAGATTTTATTTTTCTTGTTACCTTCCCCCCTTGCCTATAGGGCATGTGCACTTGCTGAAGAGAGACAAGAGAGAAGGAAAGTGAAAAATCACCCCCCAGGAGGATGGCCATACTGCAATTCCTTGTCCATCGCCCTCTTGGGATTTGGGGCATGCATACATACTCTTCTGGCATGATTTTCAAGTTACTGGGTCTGGAACTCAAACCACAGCCATGTGGGAAGTCCACGTCCTTAACCACCACCCCACCTACTGGCCCCAAGTGTTTTTTTGGAGAGGTTTTTGCTATAGGGCACGTGTGCTCGCCAGAGAGACAGAGAGACAGAGACAGACAGAAAGCGAGAAATCACCCCCAGGGGAGATGGCCATGCCACAATCCCTTCTCCTCCATTCTCCTCTCAGGATCTTGGGCACGCACGCATGAATTTAAGCCACTGGGTCCGGGACTCGAACCATGGTCAAATACATGGGAGTCCAGCATTACACTAATTGCTGGTCCCAAGTTTTTGAAGACTCCTTGTATAATCAACATTGGCTTATAGTGTTAATACCCAGAGTCAACTCAATATTTACTACACCTGTTTGGTTTCAGGCACTGATTTAGGAGCTGTGCCTATAGCAAAACCAATGTAGGTAAGATCCTAATTCACTCAAAAAAAAAAAGAAAAATGCCAACCAACAGGGTAATTTCATATAGTGAAGATAATCAAGGGTGATGACATTGTGAATGAGGAGAAGTCAAGTTTAAATTGTACACTCAGGGAAGGCCTCACGGAGAATATGATATTTGAAATGATACTAAAAAGAACCAAGAATATACCAAGCAGAATGAATACCTATGCAAAGATCCTGGAGAGTTAACAAACTTGTCATGCTGGAAAACCCAGGGCAAGACCTACCTGGTAGAATACAGTAACTTGGCGGGTCAGGGGCTATGATTTGAATGTGTCCACTCTAAACTCATAATGAAACTTAATCCTCACTATGGTGATATGCCAGGCCAGCAGACATGTTGGTTGGGGCAGTTGGATCCCTTATAACTGACAGCCAGCTCGAGTCCCGGACCAGTAGCTTGAAATAACACGCAGGGCGTGTGTGTGTGTGTGTGTGTGTGTGTGTGTGTGTGTGTGTCTATACCCAAAATCCCAAGACAAGAACGGAGGAAAAGGGACTGTGGCATGGCCATCCTTCTTAGAGAATGATTTCTCACTTTCCCTCTCTCTGTCCCTCTCCAGCAAGTGCACATGCCCTCTAGTTTAAAAAAAAAATGTAAAAAATAATCCTGAAAAGGAGAAATGAAGAGACTGCAGCATGGCTGTCCCCCCTGGAAGGTATGGCACTTTCTTGCATTCTTTTCTCTCATGGGAACCAGGCCTAATGAACTTATCCTACCCAAAGGCCCTATCTTAGAACACCATAGAGGTTAAATTTTTATTTAACACCTTTATAATATAACTAAGTCCCAACACACGAATTTTGGATAGGCATTCCAGACTACAGCAGCTGTTATCCCTATTATGAAAGCCTTCAGAGAAAGTGGACCACCAACCATATCTGAGCAGTAACCCCAGTTCCAATTCATTCTAAGGCCACAGGCCCCAGAATTCCCCTTAAAGCCCCCTTTTTACTTTCAAATTTCACATGTTTTATCCCAGGATACAGAAAACAAAAAGGAATCTTGAGATAACGTTTTCTAGACAAAGTAATGAATGAAACCTACCTTGTCCTTCAATAGTATTCCTAAGAGTAAAAGTAGCTCCAAGTCCTTTTCCTGATCTCTGGATACAAATCCCCAAAAACTGGCTGATTTTTCCACTGGCATATGGGTCAGCTGTAGTAACACGAAGTATGCTTCCTACAAATTCAAAACAAGTGAACTTTTGTATGAGATCCAGTAACAAACAAATGGCATTTCTTGGTAACTTTTTAAGTATTTTAACACTTAAGAATACCACATACAGGCAAAACCCAGACAAATGAAAAATCCATCCTCCCTCTGTGTGAAGAAAACCCTCCAAACTCATAATAAAAGCACCCAATAAAAGCACCCAGCTCTTACCAACATAGAACTCGGGAATATGGAGTATTTTTCTCCTTTCTAACATATCTTTTCTTTCTAATTGAAATTTCAGAGGATTTGTTCTTCCCCTTGGAGGAATAAACTCAGGACTCAAGAATCTGTGAAAATATGAATTTTAAAGAATTAAAAACAAACTTAAAAGGCCTCTAGAAGAAACACTGTTGCTTTATAAAACAATGAAAGAAGATGGTGTTGATGTGTTTTACTTTTCATTCTCTAAGTCAGTCTTACTTCCAAAATTGTGCTCATGAGGCTAGCTAAACATTCCTGTTTATTTAACCTGGCATTTGTTAAAAGCTCTAGTCAATATCTTACAACATAAATTAATCCTCATAGCAACCAGGAGAGTTTAATGTCATCATCTCCTTTTTACAGATGGAGAAACTGAAGTTTGGAAAAGGTAGTAACTGCCCATTATCGTGTTAGCTATATATCTGTCAGGTCAAAGTTTCTGAACAGTTTGGAAGAACGAATTACAGACACACCACTGTACCATGGCTTCAAGAATTGCCGCCAAAACCAAAGTGAGTTTTAGCCCATTTCCACTCAGGTTTAAAGGTCTTTTTGGAGAAAATCTCAGCTTTCAAACGCAAACAGGTATAAACACAATGCGCCTCACAGAAAAACTGTAATATAGGACAAATACCACAAAGGAAGAAAGCTTCAAATCTAGAGAGTCCCTACTCCAAGTCCTGACTTGGTAAAAAGTAAAACTGCACAGAAGTTGGAGAAGAGAGGAAGAAAACACAGCTGGATCAGGAGTCCTACACGCGCGCGACGCGGACAGGGGCGGCCCCCACGGCTCGGGCACCGGCGGGGACCGCACGGGGGTGCTTTCTTGAGAACCGGGTTTTACGTGGCCCGCACGCGCCGGGTCCCGGCCTCACCTCCTTTCCTGGCCCGGAGGGCGGCGTCTGTCCACGATGACCGGTTTCGGCGGCGGCTGGAATGCGCCAGGCTCCGAAGGCCCGGTGCTGAGCTGCCGGCCAGGTCCGACGCGGAGCCCTGGGGGCGGACGGCGGTCAGGTCAGTCGGACCCGCAGAGAACCCGCCGGCCCCGCAGTCTCCTCCAACACGCC